ACTTTGTCCAGCAAAATTCAATAAAAACATGTTCCTTTTCTAACGTTTCCTCTATCTTATCTAAATTTGGTTTGTCTAATTGGTGAGCCCTTATTTTGTAAAAAAGTTGATGAGCCTTCATCTCAAATTCTATTTGTTTAAATGCTTTCTCCACTTCATCTATCCCACACATATCACCCATATCAACATCTTCTCCATACTCTGAATTAGGTCTCTTGAAATCTTCATATTCTTCAAGAAGATTTTCTACTTCATATTGGGTTTGGATGCGAACAGCAAAGATCTCCTCCAATGACTCCCTGGTGGCCAAAGCATTCTTGTTCCAGTTGAACAGCAAAGGGAGCTGGTCTAGAAAAGTGTGAAGTTCTATTTGGGCCATAGGGTTGAGGTTGTGACTTTGAGAGATAATGTCACAAGCCCATAGAAAATTCTTGTGATGAGTGTCATCTTGAAGGGCTTCAAAGGATAAATGAGAAAAGGCAGCAAGTAGGGTTCGGGCTTTATACTGCTGATAAGTAGTTGGAGGAACTGGAGCCTGATAGAGAGCAAAATGTTGGCTTTCAAAGAGGGTAAGTTTCAATTCCTTAACCCAATTAGGATTAGGGGGAAGGGAATGAGCAGTGGGATCCCCTCTAAAAAAAAGTGGAAACTGAGGCTCATTTACATACTCTAGCCAGTCAAAAGAACAAAGTTTTACTTTCTTGGCCAAGAGTGAAGGACTCATTCCTAAAGCCTCAATGGGGTGAGGGGTCTTTCGCACTATTTTGGTTGGCAAGGTAAAGGTATACCATGCCGAAAGAAAATTGTCTTCAAGAGAGCGAAGACGATCGAATGGGATATAAGAATATACCACAGAGCGGCGCGAAGAGTAAGGAATTGCAGTAGGGTCATCGAATTCAATAAATTTGTAATGAATCCGCTCCCTTGTGAGGTTGGGTTGGTGTTGGCCAAGCATTCCAACCAGTATTTCCAGTAGAAGAGGAGGCAGCTTCATCCCATGCAGAAGGTTTTGGAGCAGATGAAGAACTTCCAAGATCCATTTAGACAAGTTTTTGGTCTAAAGGCTCATATTTTGCGAAAGCTTCCATAACTTGTATAAATGGAGGGGGATAGATATGGCTAATAAATATATGAAAGTTCTTTCGAGATCGATCATCATTGTCCAAAGCCTCTATGCTTGATCAATGAAAGAGAGAGTTTGTTTAACCATTAGAGATGTATCAGTCCCTTCGTTTACACAGATAGTAGAGGTAGTGTTCAAGCACAAGGGAGAATTAAATGAAGTTCAGTGTTTTATTGCTTGGAGATGGTTACACTTCCAAGATAAATACATTCCATGCACGCCGTGGGACGTGGGCAAAGAGCATTGACCCACTAATATTACCAAGTATTGGCTATATTAGTGCGGGGAGCAATGTTGGTTATATATTTTGTACAGACCTATCGCAGCCTGACATGTGGATTATAAGAGGCAAATTGGGGAATCAATAAAGGTCTCCAACCATCAACAGACGCGTGGCAACTTACAGCAATGAAAATGGATCCACGAGACATGGGAATAGTCAAGATATCCAAGGTGACGTGGCCAAACAGTTGTCTCCAGTTTAAATTCAAATTCAAGAGGGAAGCATAACCATGAAGAGTGGAATAGTGGAAGCAAACTGATCAAAGCCACAGGCTACACTCAGTGATCGTGGAGATTATTTCAACAGTTATCACCTACTTTGACAGATTATCAGTCACTTCGACGGTTATATTCAGAGCCTGTAAATAGAGGAGAGTGCTAATAATGTAAGGATCTAAAACCAGACCTAGAAACCAGTTCGTTTACTTTATATTTTCCAATCTTTTAAATTCCAATCTTTACATTCCTGTATTGCAATTCAAATTCCTAGGAGTAATTCTAAGTTAGTTTGTTATTGTAATACCCTTCGAAGCTGTAAAAGTGTGAATGTACAATTGTAAACTTTTGTTTACTTAATAAAAGATTGATTTCTGACACTATTGTTCCCTCTTTCTTTATTTCTTGTAGTCTTCTTAATTTTCTCCTAAAAACTAAACCACCAGTAAAGTCCGCTTTATTGAGGTTGAAAGAACTTCAAAGCAATCGTTTGATTAATTGGTTGGAATTTATTAATCTTTGTAAGGACTTATTAATCCTTACTGGCACACTCGAATTACAATTCTAACCTTCGAAAGTCAAAAAAGCCAACAAAAAAAATTAAATATTAATTTTTAACATACTTAACACTATTTATCACCTTTTGTTACTTGCCCGTGCATAGCATGAGTTACTGCTAGTACTATGTATTATAGCAAATAGACTTTTTAATAATAAAGGCTTTAGAACCATCAAAACTCCATCTTAAAATTCTTAATTTTTGTAATTTTCAAAATATTTATAAAAATTCTATTGGTTAACTCATCCTATTAATAATTTAAAATAAATAATTACTCTCTTATACCTCTGTCATAATAGAAAATTCTATTATAATTTGGCAAGTTAGTTAGTGGCTAAAATAGCGACAAAAGACAAAATAGGCTATTTTAGCCATAACAAACAAAACATCACATCCAACTTATAATTATTACACTCTTCTCTCACAAAAAAAGTCAAAAAAGCTAAAAAGCCAAAAAGCCTTTCCTAAACTAAACTTTTTAGCCCAGACTAAAATAGCCAAAAAAGCTAAAAAGCTAACCCACTTCCCAAATGGAGATAGAAAGTTTTCAGCTTCTTACTATATTTGTCATTCGTCCCAACGAAGCAACCCAATGTACAACCCAAAGATGTAATTATTTTTTATTATTATTTTTTTTTTGAAAAATTCACCAAAGTCAAATTAAAAAAAAAAATCACAGAAAAAGCAAACTCCAAATTATTCCAAAAGCTCTCTGAAGCTTTTTTTTTAATATTTATATTAATAATAACTTTTTTTATTTTTGGGTTGAAACCAAACTTTGTCATGATTCTGCTCTACAAAGCCATAAACATTGTAATTATGTATTTAAATCATAATTATAACAGAATGCGAGCATATCAATATTCTCTACCATTTTGATTGTGGTATATCAGTATTCCCTTCCACATTGCTTGATAATCTCTACTCGGTGATATTCATTTACAAGAAGTTAAGATGACTTATTCACAATCGCTTAAGTATAACAATGACATTTACGTTGTATTTGGTTGGAGGATTTGAAAAAGAATTTAGAAAAAGAAAGGAAAAAGTTTGGTGAAATATGAATAAAATATACTTATATTTCACCTAGTTTCACACATATTTTCCCTTTCCCTTTCCAAACCCCTCCTCAAATCCCTCAACCAAATACAACATTATACAATTATGATTTATAGCTCTGGACTTTGTTCTTTGCAACGAATCGATGTAATTATATAAAAGTGTTATGTTAATTATATCAATGTATACTAAAACTCTTGATTAATACGGTGATTTGCTTTGGAATAATTTTAAGGGGCACTTCTTAGTCCCACCAAATGATTAAGGGAAATTTTATTTCCAAACTAATACTTATGTTAGTACATGCTATTTTCTCAGTTCATATCATACATAATTTAAATTTTTTTTATTTTTGTTTTATTTCACTTTTATTTTTTTTTATTTCACTATCAAATTTCAAATAATATCAAAATACCATCCATCTTCTTGGTCGCCACTTTTCAGCCCTTAATCCACTTCCACTCGGTTCTTTCCCACCCTCTGCAATTATCCCCTCTCCAACTTGAGATCCCCCAATTCTTCATTTTCCTCATTCTTCTCTCTCTCTTCGGGGTCGTGAGAGTTGCGATGACGGTGGTGCATCACAGAGGGAGAGGGGTGCTTTCGGGGGATAATGGCTTTGAGGTCAAAAGCAACTCAAGTACTAAGCAAATAAGACTGTATTTGGCAGAGTTTTGTAAATATGATTTGAGAATAGAGTTTGTATTTTGAGTTTGTAGGTTTTGAAATTATGATTTGAGTGTGGAAAATTTATTTGGTGAATGAGTTTTAAATTGAGTGAAAATTTTTTGATGTAATATATGATATTTGATACAAAAACTTACAACTCATAACAAAAAACACAACTCAAAATTCTATTAAAAATCATAAAAAAATTTTAAAAATTCAAAAAATATGTTTTATTGAATATATAAAAATTAACATATGTAAATTGCAGCAAAAAAAAAAATTTGTACTGTTCCGATCAACTGGCCGAATGACCGGTGAGACGTCTGGGGGGACGACTGGTTAGCTCAAATTTTCCCGCCTTCAATCGCGTTTTCAAAAGTAAGCGTGAAATTAATTTTTAAAATTTGTAAACAAACACCCTATTCAAATCAGCTCTAAAATTAACGTTTCAAAGTTGTACCAAACACAACCTTCATCTTGCATGTTCTTTTAAAGAATATATTACTCTTTTAAATTTGTCTTGGGAATTGAAAGTTTAAAAATTGAACGTAATTAGTAATTTTACATTTCAACATTAAAGAACATATTTCAAATAATATATTTAAAAAGAGCTCATTTAATTTCTTATTTTTTTTTCAGTCTTAGGGCCCAAAAACTTGAACTACCTGGCAAGGGGTGGTGGGGCAACAATGTTGGACAACTATGTGAGGCTGCAATGGGGGCTGGTAAAGAGGGTTGTGGTGGTAGTGGTAGGTGACGATGGCCGAAAGTGAGGAGTGGCTGGGGAACAGGGTTGTAGTGGTGGTAGTAGTTGGTGACGATGGCCGAAAGTGAGTGGCAGCGGAGGTACAGCTTCCGTCCAAGGAGGCAATTTGCTCGACGAATACAAAAGTAATAGATAAAAAAAAGGGAAGAGGTTGTGTATTGAGAGAGATGGTAGTGAGACAATAGAACTACTCGATGATTAAATAGGTCGAAAGAGTGGATGCCTCTAGCATTGTATTAACTTTCACCACAATTTTTGTTTCAACAGCAACATGAAAAACAGAAAGATGAGTAGTCCTTAGTTTTCCAATTATTTTGAGGCAAGTGTATTTAAGTGCACATAAAATTTTTATATTTTACCTAATTTCACACATTATTTCCCTTTCCATTTCCAAATCTCCCAACCATAATGGTGATAGTAGGATAGAGGGGCTTTGGGACAACAAAGAAAATTCGGACACAGAATCTCCTGCTGACAGGATGGACACTCCCGAACAGTGCCGGAAAGTAAAACAATTTCTGATCCTGACTACCCAAAAACAAGATAATATAAAAATATGTATATATCTATCTGTACTGGTAACTAAGGATATTTGTTGAATCATGATATTATTGGAGCAATCAACTTTTCATGTTTCCAATTCCTAAGCAACAAAAACTATGTCCATTGCCCCGGATATTTGTTGCCGGTGAGCTGGTACCCGCACAGAGTCCTCCTCACCAACTCGCCGCAGCATCTGCATCGCGGGACTGGTAGAAATCATCTGGCCTCACAATGTCTACGTCCTCAAATTCATTGTCATCTGCAAGAAAGGAAAAGAAAAATGAAAGTGCATCCGAATTACAGGTCATATTTGGTCAAATACACAAGACAATATAATCCTGACCACTATAATTGACTTGGGGAAGAAAACTGAAGTAAATCTCAAGCTGAAGTCAATCTTCACGAATCAATAAACAAGTAATTCCTTACATACCTATAAAAATGTGAGGATCGGGTCACGTGTATAATGTATTACAAATTCTTTGAAAAATATGCAATGCGGATTAGGATGCATGTGTACTAAAAAAAAAAAAAAAAAAAAAAAAAAAAAAAACACAACACAAATGGAGCATATGCCCGCAATACCAAACATCATTAATCCACTAAACTTTAGTCAACTCCATTTCCAATGCTACTGTTTGCCACCAACTGATAGAAGTTTGAGTTTCATGTAGTTCAACTGAAGAAAGCCATTTTTCATATCGTACCAACTGATAGAAGTTTGAGTTTCATGTAGTTCAACTGAAGAAAGCCATTTTTCATATCGTGTTTGACAATTGTTTTGCCGCTTTAACTAATTATAATCCTATATCCTCATACTTGGAATAATCCTAATCTTGATTCATCAATACAAAATTCTTGGTGAAGGCTTTTCCCATTGAATTAGCCTCGACAAGTTCCCAAAACACAAAACTATGACTGAATAAATACAAGGGCAAGCAACTCTTCCGCTTAAATAAGCAGAACAAAGGCACAGGGAGAAACAAAAAAACATGCAAAAACCTGAAGGCTGTGTTTGGATCATGGATTTGGGTAAGGGATTTGGAAAGGGAAAATGAAAAAATGAGTGAAATATGAATGAAATATAACTACATTTCACCTACCTTTTCGCTTTCCCTTTCCCTAAGCATAAAAGATGCACTAGCTCAATCGAATAGAAGTGTTCCATAACCCAGTAAAGAATTCCTTTTTATTTCGAAATAGTTTTCCCACTTAGGTTGTTCAAACTATCCACTCCCAGGAAACAAGACAGGTTGAAAATCTCAACAAAAGCAACTACATAAAACCCAAAATGTGATCAAGCTCAGCCCAGCACAACAGAGGAATATCTCTGCATTTGAAGTAGGCTTTCATAACCTACTTTGTTTACGGTGAGATACCATACATGCATGTTGTGAGATTCCACGAGAAAGTACATCAAGATCAAAAAGTCTTCTTGCTCTAGAGAGGTGAAATGCCCCAGCTCCTCTCTTTTCTCTATTTTTCTGTGCATTTATCACTCTCTCACCAATTTACCATCTCTCCTAAATCAAACTCCAATCTTTGCCATCCTTGCAACCCCTTCCCCTGCCCCTAATTTGCAAGACAGAAGCAACATGGTTGTAGTTCCAAGAGCTGCTCTCAATCAACTATATTGGTTGGGTTTTACAGTATTTTTGTGAAAACGTGCATTATGTTTAAAAGGTAAACAAATCTTTCTTTTCTTTTCCTGAAAACAAAAATTGTCACGCCCCGTATTTCAAAACCCCATTTACATTACCATACCCATTACTATCATCCATTTTCATAAGGAATTATGCAGAAGCTACAATCGTGAACTTAATCAAACAATAAAAGCTCCCTCTCATGTATATATATATATACAACATTAATAATTACAATTGAAAATAAAATGCCCTTAGGCATACATTTACATAAATGAAAAGGGCTTAACCCTAGATACACAACAATGGCATTCTGCCTACAAGTAAAAGGCCCCGTGGCCGAAAAAGTAATGGAGCTTCTCAACTCAAATAGAATCTTCCATAATTGCACCTGAAAATGATTTAACAATGTGGGATGAACATATAGTCCAGTAGAGATCCCAATAAATCTAATTAATATAGTCTTACACATGCATATGATCATAAATGCTTCACATAATAAATATATCGATAATGTTCTCTTTTTCACTACCCAAAATATGCATATACATAGGTATACTTTTCCTCAAAACCCATTCATTTACATTTAAATAGGGTTACATCTTTCGCTTTCACTTTCATCCTTTATAACTTAAAAGATTTCATCAATTTTAAATATATTTGAAAACCATCTCAATAATTATTCCCAAAACCCACTAAAGAATATCAACTAAGCAACTCAACAACCATACTACCATTAGATAACTATGATGCCACAAAATTTACCAATGACTCCTAATAGTCAAATCAAAACAAATAACCCACTAGAATCACGGTGACTAGTCGCAATTCGTAATACTCTATAAGACATCCTCACATTTTCTAGCCATAATCACAGAGAGCTAATTGGGCACCTTTCACCATAAACTCATATGGACAAATCCAAAAAGAGATATTACAATCACATAACACAATACGACTTGACCAAGCCACTGCCATCCACTTTACCAGGCGCTAGCTGGAGGGAACTTAAAATTAAAACCCATCATTCGAAGCGCAAACCACTTTACCAAACGCTAGCTGGAGGAAACTTATGACCCGTCATTTGAAGCTCAAGCCACTTCACCAGGTGCTAGCTGGAGAGAACTTGGGACCAATCATTTGAAATGCAAGCCACTTTACCAGGTGCTAACCAAAAGGAACTTGGCACCTCTATATGGCACTTCCATCGCATAACACAACATGAACCACATTAACTCCATTTACCAAATTAATTGATAAAACTATGTACCATTTAAGGTTTCAATTCAACCTAGTTTCATATCAATTCTATAACAAACAATGCAATCCTCCATCGATTGGCAGGATAGGCTATCTCTAAACAATGTACACTCCAATATAAGCAATGTACAACACGTAATTCAATTAACAACATTTAGTTTGCAAAACACCCAAAATCACCTATTATCTTCATTACTTTCAACCTACCTACGTTTCACAATTCAACCATTGCATTCTCAATTTCACTTTCATTAATAGTGTCAACACTAGTTACAATTCATTGTGTCAACAATAGTCATTTCTATTAAACCTCTCTAACTTGGCAATATTAAAGTATAACCAAAAATCAACCTATATAATCACTCTCAATGAGCTCAAATATATGTATATAATGAAGCATTCCTCAATTTATCATCAATTTCAATCAAATTACATATAATACAAACTCTCTATCTTTACCATTTCTCAATCAACAAGATCTAATTTAAATTTTGCAAAATTGATTAACAAATCTTCATTTTTCCCGATTACAAAATTTGAAGGGCATTAGGGTTCTTATACGAATAATTAGGGCTTTCCCCATCTTAGGTCTACATATGCTCTAAGTTCTCGCAAAAATTACTGTACATGAACTACTAAAAAAAATACCATACACAACACAAACCCCAGCTTTTACAATACATGCTTTAAAATCTCTACCAAATCTCCAAAATTGGTATAATGAAAATACCACATATTCATGTATAAAAACTACATGAAGAAAAATTAAAGAAATCCCTACCTCAAGTCACAAGAAGCACAAACTGTAGATGATTAATCTTACCCAAATATGAATTTTTTTGCAATGACTTTGAAGCTCTTGCCTTGCTCAACAAAATGCTCCAAGAATTAGGGTGAAAACCAAACTCTAAGGGTGCGTTTGGTTTGGTTTGATTTTGGGAGATAAATTTTCAAAAAAAAACTTAGAGAAAGAGTTTAGAATTTTTTTTTTATTTGTTTGGTTGTATATTTTGGAAAGAGTTTTGAAGTACGGGAGTTTGGAATGATTTGATATTTTATTGTAGTTGAGCAGATGTGTGTGAGAGAAAAAGTGATTGAGAAGTAGAGAGAAGAGAGAAAAAGTGATTGATTGACAAAAAATTTCCAACTAAACAAAATTTTGGAAATTTTTTTCAAAAATTGTGTTTTGAGAGTTAAACCAAACAAGGTCTAAATCTCCTCACTCCAGGGACACAGTGAGCATTCATGGTGAAAGAGGGAAAAAAATTATTAAACAAAAAGAGAAGAAGAGAGCAAAGTTTTTAAAGGCAAATGCGGTACTCAAGGTGTTTTACCCCTCATGACGCGAGGCATAAGCCTCAGGGCGTTGAGTCGTAAGCATTTCAAATTTCAAATTTTAATATTTAGTGAATAAATTAAATATTTTAAAATAGTACAAAAATGAAAACAAAATTAAATATAAAAGTGTAAATACTTTTTGCCTTAAGGCGTTGAACATTTTACTGCATAGAAAGAAGTTTTCCTTCATTGAAAGTGAAATTGATATTCTTAACTTTAGTGATTGAGCTTCTCACTTGATCACTAACTGTTGATTGATCTTTTACTTAATTTTTCCTGTAGAATATAGTTATAAAAAGTTGCAAAAATGAATTCTTTTTATTTTTTTAAGTTTAAACAATCTAATAGACCAAGTTCAACAAAAGCCCAAGGCAACCCCTGCATGTGCGTACTCCTCACATGCTTATGCGCAAAAAGCGTACAAAGTGCACCTAAGACGCATGTCTCAAACTATGATGCGCAAGCCTTTGGGGCGTAATGCCTAAAAATCAAAGCCTTAATGCGTTTTACGACCTTAGCCTCGAGGCGAGGCAAGCATCAAGGCGAGTCTCAGGAAAGCCTTTTAAAACTCTGGAAGACAGACAAAGCCGAGAGAGAGAGAGGCGTTTGACAGAAACAACCAAAAGCAACCGGCAAAGAAATTGATTAAAAATATATATATATAAACAAAAGCTAAGCAAGTGGCAAACCAATCCCCTAGACAAGGCATGGCCAGCGTGGGCTAGTAGACCCCATGTGGTTCTGTCCTCAAAATTGATATATATATCTACAATTAAAATTATGATTTAGCAAAATTATAAAGTTTTGCAACATAAAATTATAAAATGGTATAAATTTTGTTATCACAAAATATAACTCTCATTTAATGGTATACATCATAAATTAATATAACACACTAAAAACACCATAATCACATATAGGATTTATAATTTATATAATTAAATTTGAACCAAACAATTCAGTATGGGATGAATAAATGAATCCAATTTACAAAGTAAATCACAAGATAACTTTGGATCAAGAGTCTAGAATTAAATTCCCCATTACCCATTAATTAATCCAACTAATCTAATCACTCAAGATCAATCAATAATAAATGAAGTCAAATACAAAAATAGTCTCACTCAAGACTAAAATTCAATTTCAATTTCTACTTTAACACTAAACTGAATACTGATCAATCTGTGAATTTTATAAAATTAAATGCTCATCATTTAACTTTGAAAATTTACCAAGCATGATATACTCATATATGAAGCTTACATAAAACTTTCATAAAATCTCATGTTATGAAACTATTTTTAAAAATTCGCAGTAGTGTCTCTAAATAAAAAGTCCTAAATTTTTATTTTTTTTTTTTTCCCCAGTCTCTACAAAAATAAAAGAATGATTATTCTCTTAATGGTATTGATACTACCGAAAGAATGCAGCCAAAATAGAAGTAAACAATAAAGAAAAAATAGAAAGGGAAAAACAAGAAAACGTGGAAAAAGATGAATGCTAGTGAAGTGAGGCTGTCTGCAACATCAACACCAGCCTTGCACATTATTGTATGCCCAGGAAAAAAATATGGTTTTGTCCCTGCTCTTAGAGGAAACTGCTTAGAGCCAAGACTTCCTCATGAGGTCAAGAGGGAACAACAGAAATCTAATACCACAAGATAATACCCATCATCACCCAATGATATGCCCTCAAATTTTCAGTCACTCAAATCCATAGTGATGGGGAAAAAATTATTACAAAAAATCTACCATTCCCCTCCAACCAAACAATCCAAAATAATTGCAAGAATGGCTCTAGAAGCCTTGCCTCTCTCAGCGTCACCAAAGAAAAGACAAACAAAACTATTTTGTCTAGTCATTTCTTAAGCATGTGAGGCACATTTCAGCAAAGGAAGCAGAGAAACAAACCTTAGATAAAAGTACACTCAGTTTAGTCCCCATTAATGGCTAAGATTTGCCGGTCCTTTTCTAAAAATTTCGAAGCCAAGAAATAGAAAGTTAAGTTTTGTGATCAAAACCTTCTTACATTGTTAAAACAACACTTACTAAATTTCCAAGCAGAATCATTTGAATACACATGCAAGTTCATAATCTTTAGCCAGATCAGTATATTGGATAAGCAAAAGGATCGCTAGAAAAGCCAAAGCAGAACATTAAACAAAAAAAAGTCGTTCCAAAAAGTGAAGGGAAAAAATGCATTAAACCAAATGGGGGGGAAAGGTGATAAAAGTACCTCTTCTCAGGGTCAATGCAACAACAGCATCATTTTCAACCTGAAAAGAGCATGGAATTTGTTAAACATGTCAACACACTCTGAAGCTAAGATATCAAAAAATAAGAGACTTTAAGGTTAACAGAACAATATTTTCTTAGATGGAAATTTGAATGTGGCCACTTCTCAAACAGATAACATAAAACCTGGAATTTTTTGCTCGAAATAATAGAAGTGGACTGATGTACCTTCTGATCTGCCAATGTTTTTGAATCATCTAACACTTCACCAGTTGCCATTAGAATCAAACGCTGATCATTCACTGGTTGATCAATGAGGACATGCAACTTCTGCTTAATGTCTAGAATTGTCTCGGTTGGTTCGCATTGCAGAAAGTAGGTAGTCTTACTACGTTTCACACGAATGTACATAGCCTGCACACAAGTCACAATTACAAATTCATCAAATAACTAAAAATATAAAGCTATAACGAATTGCAAGAGTGAACTGCACTGAAATGAGTATAAACAAATTTACAAACTATTTTATTTTTGTACGGTATATGCATTCATATTTGCTACATAGCATTGCCACATCACCCCCATGTTCGCATCTCCAAAGAGCAGGGTACCATGTGTACTTCATGAGTGACACATACACATGGACCAATGATGAGTCTCCATCTGCTCCCCTCCAAGATCAAGCTATGATGGTCAAGGCAAGCATACATGGTGCCTTTGTCCTGAGCCAAGACATTAAGGCATGCCCCAATCTGCTCAAGAATCCCTTGGTTCGGCCAATGAGACTTCGCTCAAGCGGTCATCTCTTCCACTTGTGAACAACACGCTTGATGCCGCCCATGCCAGCCAAATAACTCCTCAACCATGAATGCTCCCCCCATTCATATCCTTTCAATGTTTGACCATGCTCATTCTCAGATCTATCATCTCTTCTCCACTAAACTCACTCAATCTCCATCTCCAGCTTAGATAAGTATCTCCTATGGAGCGGTGTCCCACTGAGTTGGTCTCCCATCCATAAGGCCAGCACTTTGATGAGAACAACCACGCCATCTTGGGTTGGGACTTCTACGTGGGATCACTAGAGGTATGTGGTGTGAAGGTTAGAGTTGAGCGAACATCAAGGTTGTCTAGCCCTCCTTCTTGGGGTGGCTCCAACTCAACTAGTATCAAAAAGAGAGGAGCTTTGACAAATACATGTGCCTCTCCAAATATGTATCATACCTACCTCTGTAGCATTATGATATGGTCTTCGAGGCTTAACCTATTTGTCCAATACCATCCCATGATAAGTTGGGAAACCTCAAAATTGTAGAACCAAGGGGGTTGAACCACCTCTCCCTTAGCCTGGGGTCTTATGCACGGCTCAGATAGTCCCCATGATTCGATTCTCCTATAAAAGGGATCCTCTCCATGCATGCAAGAACAAGGAGTGGCTACTGGCCTCCAAAAAATTCATAAGCATTCTCCACTCCCATGGTCCCACCCTCTCTAAAGCAATCTCACTTCTTTCCTACACCTCCGATGTTTCCTTACCATCTCAGTTCTTAGCATCTTCCCAAAAGGCCTCACATTAGCTTCCTCAAGGCCAAATATCCACAATTTATAATTAACATTTTACTAATATTTTGGCATTTGAATTCTTTACCCATTTTATAAAATTAATCAGACAGTTCTGCTTATGAAATAACATCATAAACTATGTGACTATTCCCTCCAAGCTACATAACAAAACAAAAACAGAGAAGTCATCATTACTATTGGACTTTTATCTAGATTCCAACAAATGCTGCAGTGGTTCTAATATGAAAGAAATATTTGGTGGATCAACCATAGATTGCATGCACGCACACTTAAGTGGCTTAAATTTTATGGATATGTTTGCTCAGTCAACTAAAATCAAACTCATGATGTGGAAATCTAGCTCATTACATTTGCAACCCAATCATATTCCATCAAACCGCATTTCAGAATTCTTTCTACCAACTAGGCAGAAAAGGGAACCTCTTCTAATTTGCCAACTACAATTCAAAAGCAATAAAGTCAAAAGTAAACTTTTCTTCTTTCATATTTCACACCCCAACAAGAAGTTGATCAAAAAACTATCCAAACATGTAAAACTAGGGTGTGCAGTATTCTAGAATGCTTCTCATTGTGCCCCTTTCCTAGATTTACCAAACAAAATTAACCTCATACTAATTTCCATTCTGGAGAAGCAATTATATTAAGCCTTATGCCAAGAATGCACAACTACCTTGTGATATCCTACCTTTTCCAATACCCACATTGTATCCTATTTGAAGCTCATTCTCCAAACCAAAGTTTTTAAAGGTGAATGCGTACCGTAAGACGTTTTACCCCTTATGAGGCGAGGCGTAAGCCGTAAGGCGTTGAGGCTTAAGCATTTCAAATTTCAAATTTTTATATTTAGTAAATAATTTAAATGTTTTAAAACAATAAATAAATACATCAAAATTAAATATAAAGGTGTAAATACTTTTCTTCATTGCAAGGAAGGAAGCTTTGCTTTATTAAAAATGAAATTGGTATTTTTAGCTTTAGTGATTGAGCTTTTCACTAAGCATTAAACTTTGTTTTTTTTCCTCGATTGGCCATTTACTTAATTTTTCCTATAGAATATAGTTGCAAGATGAGTTCTTTTTTTATTTTATACTTTTTTATATTTAAACCATCTGCTAGACTAAGTTTAATGAGAGCCTAAGGTAAACTCTTCATATGCGTACTCCTCACATGCTTATGCTTAAAAGGCATACAAGACGCACCTAAGGCACATGTCTCAAGACTGTATGCACAAGCTTTTGGAGAGTAAAGACTAAAAATCAAAGCCTTTAGACATTTTGCCTTAGCCTCACCTCAAAGCAAGCCTCAGTAAAGCCTTTTAAAACTTTGCTCCAAACCCCCAAGTGTAGCTCCTCAAAAAAACAGAAGCTTCCTCTATCGTAAAATCATATCTCTAAGGAGTTAGGTCAAAAGAAAATAGAAAGCGACATCTTCATTTAATTTGTTAATGGGCAATTATTGCATAAAAATGCTTTTTGATACTCGAATGAAAATTAATATAGGTTCTTACAACATCCTACTTCAAATTCCAAATGTCCCATGCCTATGTCTTTCCTAATAACCCAAATTTTGTGAAGTGCAAGTTCTAGTGGGAGTGAGCATGCAGCAATGCATCATATAAAGTTCTTTAACAATTGCTCTTGACCAAAGTATTCAGAGATAAATGGGTAACGCGATACATTTTACCCCTCATGAGGCAAGGAGTAAGTATTTCAAATTTTGAAATTTTATATTTAGTAAATAAATAAATTAAAATAGCAAACACTATTAAAAATTAAATACAAAGGTGTAAATACTTTTCTCCTTAAGGTATTAAGCATTTCACTGTAGAGAATAGGGCTGTTCAAATACCCATCCGGCCCAATGATACTACCCTGCCAGATCCAACCCAATTCTGAACGAACGGTTTTCGAAGCTCTCTTCTGTCGACTGCAAGTAAATGGGAGTACTTTTCATAGGTTATCAGTCAAGTAGCAGGTTTGGCATAAACAAACCTGTGTAACCCGACCCAACCAATCTATATATTTAAGATATTAGATCCAAGTGTCGTATTGTAATTGATGCTCTCAAATTACATTTATCACTAACCTTGAGTGCTTCACCAACTTTGATGACCTCTCTTCTCATCGAAAGTACTACCTTTCTCTCTCTATGAAAAAACGTAAGAGTTAAAAGTCTACATGGATTTGATATTTTGAAAATGTAAAACCAATGAGTAATAGCTATACAACTTATGTAATTTATAAGATATGCTTTTATTTATTTGAAATGATAATAGAGTAAATTATGGTGGGACACATGGGTGTGTCATATATAGCATTGGATAAACCAAGCAAATAAGTCAAAGTGTGGTGTATATACTCACAATTCCCAACGTGGAACTAAAACTAAAACCCTCTCTAAGCCCCTCTCTCTCCATTATCTATCTCTCTCTCTAGTCTCTTTAATTGACAATGCATTGATTACCCTCTCTCCACCATTTCATCTCTCTCTCTCTCTCTCTCCAATTTACAATGCATTGATTACTCTTTCCATTGTTTTTTTCCACCCATCTCCTCCATCCAAAAGAAATCTCCACTCAACATTGATTACACTCTCTCCAATTAGGGGTGTTCACGGGTCAAATTGAGTCAAGTTTAACATGTACCACCTTGGGTAGAACAAGAAGCCATCCAATTTTGACCCACTATGCATTCAAAACCGGACATAAGCGTGTTGGAAAAAATTCAGTCAGAATCAAAACCGATCACTCATCTTCTTAGTCCGCAAACAAGAAAGCTAAAAACCCTTTGACAGCTTACAAGAAAAAAAACCCTAAAAAGATACTTTACAGAGAGAGGATGAGACTAAAATTGAAAGAGAAGGGATGAAGGGGTTGATCTAAGATCGTCGTGGTGAAGATCATCATTGTCATATGATCTCGTCACATGATCTCCTCATCGTTGTCGTTGTCTGATTTGATCATCGAAGTCATTACTTCGGTGGAACGGTGAGAGTTGAGAGAGAAAACATAGCAGCGTTTGAAATTGAAAAAAAATGACTTCAGAGAGAATCAGAAAAGTCTCGAGTGAATTCTCCAAGAGATGAGAGAGAATAACAAGTGATTTGAGTCATATTTTCTAAGCAGATGAGTGGAGCGTTAAGAGAATTGGAAAGGTCTGAGTGAGTTAATTTTTCAAGAGATGAGAGAGAATAATAAATAGAAAGTTGATGATTTGAGTGATCTGTTCAAGAGAGAGATGATAGACAAAGTAATAAAGTGGAAGAGAGAGAGTCAATGGAGAGTTGGTGTTAAGCTGTGTAATAAATGCAATATGTCAATCAATCAAATAAGAAGGCACTGCATGTAATTTTATTAATTATATATTTATTCGGACGGTCCGGGTGTTTTGGGTGACGTGATAATAAATCTATTGACTAACGTGAAATTCAAAAATTATAGAATCAATATCCACAACCGACCGTCTCTTAATTCGAAATCAATCGATCTCCAATTTTGTGGGTCGGTATGGTCAGATTTGTCAGGTGGTTCGAGCCCATGAATTGCCATATCTCCAACACATTAATTAATCTAATTCACCCTCTCTCCAATACATCTCTTCAGTTTCATCTACCATAACTCTCTCTCTCTCTCTCCCCCCACTATTTCATCTTCCATCTCTTCGTTCAAAAGAAATTCCCATTGCTCTCTCTCCATTACGTCGATTCTCCCCCTCCCTCCCGAAACAACGGTGGTAGAAATGGACTTTGGTAAATTGATAGTGGCAAAAGGCGTTGATTTGTTGTGGTGATCGACGCCGATGGTTTTGTTCCATAGAGGCAATCGATGACAGTAGTGCTAATCAATGGCGATGACTTTGAACGATGGTGAGTCTTGTCTCTCTTTCTTTTCACTCACCGTTGCTCTCAAATCTGTATGGTTTATTTGAGTTACAATCACAGTATGAAAGAGAAGTTAGTTTTTTAGTTGTGTATCAATACTGACTGAACCGACCATCAAACTAAAGGGCTTGATTCGTTCAATTTTGAAGAGGTGGGTCAGTTGGCAAAGGGTAACCATATCTTTAACCCAATCAATTCGGTTTGGTTGACAATTTGATAGTAAACTCAATTCGAACCGACCCGTTAACACCCCTAATAGAAAAGAAAGCTTGTCCTCATTGAAAGTAAAAACGACATTTTTAGTTGCAATTATCGACCTTCTCACTTGAGCCTTAGCTTTGTGTAATTTCTTGATGGTCATTGACTTTATTTTTTTACCATGAAACATAGCTACAAAGAAGGATATTTCTTTAGGTTTAAACCATGTATTAGACAGTTTAACAACAATCCAAGACAAAATTTCAATATGCATACTCCTTACATGTTTATGGGAAAAAGGCATACAAGGAACACATGAGGCGCATACATCTAACTATGATGCACAAGCCTTTCAAGAGTGTCACCTAAAAATCAAAGCCTCAATGCATTTTGCATTAGTGTTGCCTTGAGGCAAGCCTCAACAAGCCCTTTAAAACTCTTCTCTTGACAATTTGACATTTTTGTCACTAAACTCATGCTTTGTGAACCCAAGTCTTTTGTCAAACTCAATCAAATACATTTAGAACATAGGAAGCTACAAATGAAACCTATGAAGCAAGGACACGCCAGATTTCATGCCGTGGTGGTGTCTAACATGGGGACACGTTGGGTGACGTGTCCCTTTAATTTAATTATTTTTTTGCAAGGGACGCGGCGGAGACACAACAGGGACATGAGTGTCCACCAAATCTGGACACAAAGGGTAAAAGAGAAGAATAAAGGAGAAGAGTAAAGGTCAAGAGACAAACCTAGACTTCGATCCAGTCGACTCGCCTGTCAACCTCCATGACTTCAACCACCGTAAGCCGTCGACCTCGACCTCTATCCAGTTGACTTTGACCACCGTAAGCCTCTCTCTCTCTCTCTCTCTTGCCTTCCCTCTCACTCACGCCTCTCACTTTCTCTCTCTCGCCTTCCCTCTCGCTCGCGTCTCTTGCTCCCTCTCTCTCTCGCGCTCGCGTCTCTCGCTCTCTCTCTTGCTCTCGCTGATTAATATGTATAATATATATATATATATAATATATATTAGGTATAATATATATAATATATATATATATATATATTTATTTAATATTAATAAAAAGGCATATCTTATATCTTATATAATATATATATATATAAGATATAATATATACTTATACATATTAATCAAAAAAAAAAATGTAAATAAAATAAAATAAAATAATTAATAGAAACACATTTATTTAAAAATATAATAATTAAATAAAATAATTAACTTGTATTAAAATAAAAATATTTATTAAAAATAAATAAAATTTGTCATGTCCCCAGCCTTATCCGTGTCTCCTTTTTTTTAAAATTGCCATGTCCCCTGTCTGTGTCCGTGTCCATATCCGTATCCGTGTCCGTGCTTCATAGAATGAAACCACTCCAATTACCAAAACAAAATAAAAAAAATTAATGTTAAAACTTGGCTGCAACTCTTTGAACCAGATGCTTACTCTTTTAAACAACCTACTATTTCCAAAGCCATATTTGAAGCCAAACGTAGTAATCGCTGTTTTGCTCACAACCTTAATCAAAGTATCTATTTGTTTCATTGGAAAATGAAGGACAAATAATAATATATAATTTCCAATAATAATTAAAGCAAAGTTGCTAGTTTAGTTCATGATTTCAAATAATTAGGAATGGGGAAAATTTTCAGAATGAATATTTTCTATAAAAAAATCTTTTTGGATTTTATTTTCTTACGACAAACATGACCTTACTTTTTAAGAGAATTCTATTATATATGATGAGAAAACTCCAAACCCAAAATTCCCCCTACTAAAATTGCAATTCCCACATTTTTTATTTTCATCCATAACACACGCAAACATAACTAGAAAAGGGCATCCAAATTGATAGAACTTATCATCTAGTATGGTATCTAGTATTAACTGTTGCAGAATACCCCAAACACACAAACAACAGCAAGATGAAAACAATCAATATCACACAAAAGAAACAACACAGAAATTTATGTGGTTCGGCAAAATTGCCTACATTTACGGCTCACACCAGTTTCACTATATCAGAAAGAATGAAAAGAGAGTACAATCCAGCTGCTACAGAAAACAGAAATATATCGTGCTAGGGTTACAACTTACATCAATAATTACCAAGCTACCCCCAACCCCCCATTGGATTGAGGGCCCAGTGTCAGTACTATAGGCTCCATAAACCCCAACATTAACAATAATGCAAAGCCTCAATTGTTCAAGAGGAAAACTCACTTCTACATCTGAAATTGCTTCTTATTAGCCTTTTCCCTTCTCATTCCGAGACGTAATTTTACTGTATAATACATGTAAGTGCAATGTCTGGAAAATTTAGCAGAAGCTAATGGAACCCATTATCAGTAGCAAGCAATATATAATACCCACATTGTTTTATGCCATAAAATTTCACTTCAAGGAGTAAATCACACAGAAATCTGAAAATTTAGTAAACCTAATCCTAGAACTCAAACCCTAATTGATACTCGCGCACACTCACCAGAGTCTCGAAAGACATAGGCCCTCGATCATCTTAGGTTCATACACATATATAATTGATAGGCATGAACAATCATATACATATATATATATATGTGTGTGTGTGTGTGTGTGTGTGTAATTTTGAAGAATTAGTACAAAGATTCAATACAATATATTAACTGACAGAAATAACGCTACCATTTCACCAAGATTTTCTGTCTCCGGAACCGGAAAATCTCGCCGTAGGCCCGTTAGGGTTCTGCTTCCCTCCTTCCTGTCTCTCTCTCTCTCTGTCTCTCTGGGTTCAGACCATGGGGGAGAGAGTCAAAACAGTGAGTCTAAAAACAATAGTAATATGATTTTGCAGCAAAGCCCTTGGTGTTTTTCATAATTTTAAAAATGACCCAAGCATGGGCAATGCTGCAAACAACCATGGGGACTCGTATCACAGCCCAATTAAGCTAAATTTTTTTAGTCAATTTTTTTTACTTTAAAAAGTTAAAATATGCATATATATTATGTAGTAGTGTGAGGGGTATGATTCGGACGGTTTAAGAATAAAATTATAAATCGAATGGTAGATTAGTAAATTGACGGATTAACAAATTACGGTTTGAGTAATTTTGGACAAATTGACGGATTGAAAAATATTCTAATTAATTATCAAGGTTTTGCATAATATATAACATAAATTTACCTAATATTTTTTATATGTACAACATAAATTAATTTTATTTATTTAACATAAATATAATTTAATTATGTAATTACTATTTTTTATTAATTTAATTTTTTGTATAAATTATCTACGTGAGGAACTTTGCAAGATGACCTATCATCAACCTCTTCGATCGGATTATCACAGAAGCTCCTCTCAAAAGGTAAACATTTGTTTGCAATTGTGCTTGAATTTTATGTTTTCATTATCCGGTTTACTAAATTAATTTGGTTTATAATTCAAATTTTTTTTCTCACTTTTCTTTTAGTGATTTTTTTCTTCATATTTTAATCAATTTTTTATTTTTTTTAGATACACTTAATCTAAATATAGCTAAAAAAACAATACTTGTGAAGAAATATTAAAAAAAACACCACATATACAACAACAACAACGAACAAAAAAAAAAAAAAAACTCAATATCGTCTTTAATAAACTTTGTTCAGATTTCTTTACAAATACTATTTTTACGTGCTTTTAGATCAGGCACATTTAAAAAAATTAGGATAAATTATACAAATAGTTTATGTAATTTACACGATATGTCAATTTGATTCTTGTTATTTTAATTTGCTCGATTTTATCTCTTAATTTAACGGATTGTGTCATTTTAGTCCAATAAATAACAATTATTAAGTTTAGTATGCGGAAAGTCAAACTATGTGTCAATTTAGTCCCTGCAGTTTACATAATGTATCAATTTGGTCTCTGTCAAAATCGAGTAAATTAAAACTACAGGAATCAAATTGACACATTGTATAAACTACAGGGACCAAATTGACACATTGTGTAGACTTTTTGCCCATCAAACTTAACAACCGTTATTTATTGGACTAAAATGACGCAATTTGTTAAATTAAAGGGTAAAATCGAGTAAATTGAAATAACAGAAACTAAATTGACACATCGTGTAAAATATATGGACTATTTACATAATTTACCCAAAATATTATTAAAAAATGACCAAAATATGGCGGGAAGTTTACTAAAGATAAACAAATATATGAAAAATAAAAATTTCAAAAATAGTTTTCAAAAATTAGACCAAACAAAATCAATTTTTGTTTTGTTTTCTATTTTTTGTTTCTTTTGGCTTAATATTGTTTTCCAATTTTACTATCCATGTTTCTTGCAATTTAAGATTCATGTTTAGTAATGTTAACAAATATTTAGAATATATTACTTTTCATATTTCTATAGATTTTCTTAATTTCATAATTTCTTAATTAACACTCCATATGAGTCCTATATATAGGTCACCTCTTGTGATAGTTTAATACATAATATTACAACAATATTGTTCAATATATAAGTATTCTCTTCTCTTCTCTTCTCTTCTCTTCTTCTCTCTCTCTCTCTCTCAATACATTTATCTTAATATAGCATCAGAGTTATACAATTCTGGTCTGTATTTCTTGTTCATTGGCGAGTGGTTGGTTGGTAACCTTGCACTTGCTGTCTACTGGAATTGTTTTTTAAACATGCCTATATTTGTCCCAATCTCCAACAACACTAATAAACCACTATGTCCTCCGCTAGCGTCCAATCACATCCTTTTGTTCCTTCATCACTTAAATATATATATTTGTTTTTTGGTGTGCTTATGCACTCTCTCTCGGCTCTCTTCCTTTCAACCTCATATAAGTTTCTATTTTAAAACCAATTTGAGTTTGAGGGGGATAATATACTTATATCACGGTGAGCATGGTGATACACCATATGAACCATCTAAGCCGCTCATTGGCACACGCCTAAGCTGCTTCCTAACGCATCATGTCTTAAGCCGCTCTATGGTACACTCTCTTATTAGTTGCGCTCATCGTTCAACACCATGTCATAAGTTCCATGTGTGTCACATCTGCTAGTTCAACATTTGTTCCTATTCAAGCGCCTCCCAAGGCCCATCACATCAGTTGCCCCTAACAAGTTTCTCTCACATTGAACACGTCGTTCAACATCGCTTATAGTAGGCCCATTTATCATTTGTCCTAGCAACAGACTCTTTTCAATCACTCCTAGTAGACTCTTATCGTTTGCCCTAATAGTAGACTCTTCTCAATCGCTCCTAACAAGCTCTTTCATTTGCCCTAATAGCTGACTCTTCTCAATCGCCCCTAACAAGCTCTTTCGTTTGTGGTACACAACAAAGTCTCATTTATTTACTTTTTTTTTTGTTTTGTTCTTCGAAACTCAAGTTAGTTTACCTACTTGAGCTTGAGAGGGGTTGTTAAAGTATATCTACAATATATTGCTTTCCATATTTGTTAGGTTTCCATATTTCTATAGGTTTCCTTATTCTCATGGTTTCTTGATTAACACTTTATATAAATTCTATATATAGGCCACCTTTTGTAATAGTTCAATATACAATATTACAACAATATTATTCAATATACAGAGATTCTCTTCTCTTCTCTTCTCTCTCTCTCTACAATTATTGTAACAAATAAAATAATTGAACTTCAAAAGGGGTGTGTAATTGCATTCTTATGTATATACAATTATTGTAACAAATAAAATAATCGAGCTTCAAATGGGGTGTGTAATTGCATTCTTACGTACAAATTGTGATCCTGGTTTTATGTTAGTAGTTTGTCATCCTATGTCAATGATCAAATGTTTTGAATGCATGGTATCTAGTTGCTCTCCCATTGTTACTTTTGTTAGCAGTCGATCAAGTGAACTCTTTGAATCAATAATTTTTTCTAGTCATGCACAGTTTTTGCAGTTGAACTAAGAACATAGTTGAGAATTCATTTTGTAGTTGGTACACGATAGTCCGTCAATCAGGAACTTCACTTTAGAGATCAAGAGTTGTCATGATGAATTAAGCGTTCCTTTACTAGATGTGTTACTCATATTCAAGTCTCATTTCCATGCCATGTAGTTTTTCATTCTTTTTTTTTTCTTTTTTTTTCTCTCTAATATATCCGTATGTGTTAATAATCGAGCATAGCCTCAATATATCTTGGAAAATTTTAAAATTCACTAATATCCAAAAAAATTAGGAATCATTCCTAAATTTTTATTTAAAAAGAAAATTTGAATTAATGGTCCATCATTTAATCTGTAAAGGGAAAATTTCCCCTTTATTTTTAACATGTGTGCGTGCATCATTTTACTTCATGGCATTAGCGCCACCTATTTTTGAATTTATTTATAAAAATAGTAAGTGAAAAGGGAATAACAATTCTAATTACGCTCTCTTTTTCTACTTGAAATTTTTTTTCCATAAAATATTTTCTACTTTTTCTGTCATTTGGTACAACAGAAAATAGAAGTCAATAAAAAATATTTTCTATAGTCAATGAAAAACAAACCTATTTGGGCAAAAAAAAGTTTTCCGAACAAAATTTTTATCAGTGTTATCACATTACCACTATAACCATCATCTCCATTACCGCCACCGCCACCGCCACCGCTGCCACCTCTACCTGCACCACCCCACAACCACCGCTACTATTATCTCTACCTCATTACTACTACCAATGTTCTGAAACTTGGACCGTTGGTCAAACCGAAAAAGTGATTGGGTGACGGGTCACCGGGTGACTCGAAACGTCATAATTACCTAATAAATATATTAATATTTTATTTTTAAATTTAAAAAATAGGAATTAAGATCCGTTCATTAAAAATATTTTAGACTTTAAGATATATATAATTTATATAAATATGTTTACCCAATATATATTTATACATGTATTTTTTATGTTAATATTGTTTGTAAAAATGTTAATTATAATGGTATTAGGAAGAGAAAATTAATTGAATACAATAAATAATATACATTTGCTCTTTGTAGGGTAATATTAGAGATACTAAATTTTTTACTAAATAAATGATCAAATGTTTCACATATATTATTTGATAAAAAATTTGAGACATATAACATTTTCCTTATACTAAATGAAGGTTGTTGGTCCAGTGGCAGTGCTTTGCACTCATATGCGCGAGGTGTCATATTCGACTCCTCTAAGCATAATTTTTTCAATGCTTACACCCAGGCGCATTGAAGTCTATCAAGCCTGGCCAGTTTCCTCAACCCGGATCTAGTTCGCCGGTTAATCAGATTTAATTGCAGGTTTTACCGATTTAATTGAAAGATGCCAGTTTTGCAATTGAAACAAGTTGTAGGTATATCCGGATATCCGTTAACAGGTCGATTGGTCCGAGTTTCAAAACATTGACTCCTATCAACATCACATTATTATCGCCACTACCAGTATCACCATTGCTACACCACTCCACAAACGCCTCCACTTTTACATCTACCTTACTGTCACTACTATCACCACCACTAATGCAACCATTATTACATCAACTTCAAGAACGCAACCAAACATAAGAAAATGTTTTCTGTAGAAAATATTTTCAAGAAAAAGTTTTCTATCGAAAGTATTTTTCGAAAAAGTTTTTTTTAGAAAATATTTTCCTCTGAAACCAACGGAGCATACATTAAAGACTGCAAAATTTATAAATCTTATGTTTGTCATTATACATGCACCATAAAGTTGTATGTTGTTAAGACTTTTTTTTTTTTTTCTTAATTTTATGTTTTTGTGTTTGAGATGAAATTACTTTTCTTTTTTTTCTTTTTTTCTTTTTTTTATCGATGAAGGTCAAGTAACCTTACA